CCCTCAGCACCCGGGAGAGCTCCGCCGCTGCACCGCGCATGCCCCGGCCCCGCCGGCGCGGATATAACCGCGGCGCGGCGCGGCTTCGGCGCCAGCCGCTCGGACCCGCCGGGCCGGAGAGACCCCGTCCCCGCTCCGGCAGCCCGCCCGCCGAAGAGTCTGCCCGCTGCTGCTGACTCGGGGGGTCTGGGGAAAGGCTCCCGCCGACCCGTCGCCCTCCCTAGCATGGGATGGGCGAACCCTGCGAGCGCGGTGCCTGCTCGCCAGCCGCCGGCATGAAGGAAGGAACGGACTGGGAGTCCTGGGACGCGCCGCTGGGTTTCCTGGAGGGCGCCCAGATGGGCAACAGGAGCAACGTGTCCTTCCTGCAGCTCTTCAAGAACATCAACCTGGAGCGAGCCGATGGGATGCAGGGGGACAGCTCCGACGTGGTGCGGATTGTCATCTCCCTCGTGTACTCGGTGGTGTGCGCCCTGGGGCTGGTGGGCAACCTGCTTGTGCTCTACCTGATGAAAAGCAAACAAGGCTGGAGAAAGTCCTCCATCAACCTCTTCGTGACCAGCCTGGCAGTGACTGACTTCCAGTTTGTGCTGACCTTGCCATTCTGGGCAGTGGAGAACGCACTGGACTTCAACTGGCTATTCGGCAAGGCGATGTGTAAGATTGTCTCATATGTGACAGCCATGAATATGTATGCCAGTGTCTTCTTTCTCACTGCTATGAGTGTGGCTCGATACCGCTCTGTGGCTTCCGCCTTGAAGAATCAGCGGCGACGTGACCCACTGCGTGGCTGCTGCTCCGCCAAGTGGCTTTGTGCACTCATCTGGCTGTCAGCTATCCTGGCTTCACTGCCTCATGCCATTTTTTCCACCACCGCCACCGTCTTTGATGATGTGCTCTGCCTCGTCAAGTTCCCCGAGGGCCGAGGCAGCAATGCCCAGTTCTGGCTGGGTCTGTACCACATCCAGAAGGTGCTGCTGGGCTTCGTGGTGCCACTGGCCGTCATCAGCCTCTGCTACTTGCTCCTGGTACGTTTCATCAGTGACAGGCACGTTGGCAGCACCTGCAGCGGTCCTAGCACCAAGCGCCGCTCCAAAGTGACTAAGTCCGTGTCCATTGTGGTGCTGTCATTCTTCTTGTGCTGGCTGCCTAACCAAGCGCTCACAACGTGGGGCATCCTCATCAAACTCAACGTGGTGCACTTCAGTACTGAGTACTTCCTCTCCCAGTTGTACCTCTTCCCCATCAGCGTGTGCCTGGCACACTCCAACAGCTGCCTCAATCCCATCCTCTACTGCCTCATGCGCAGGGAGTTCCGCAAGGCACTGAAGAGCCTCCTCTGGCGGATCACCTCACCTTCCCTCACCACCATGCGTCCTTTCACCGACACCACCAAGCCTGAGCAGGAGGAGCAGGCCCTGAACGCTTTGGTGCCTGTCCACCCCGTCACTGCTTCTTCCCCTGCTGCAACCGTCCAGCCGGAGGTCGCCTACTACCCCCCTGGGGTGGTGATGTACAGCAGCCGCTATGACCTGCTGCCTGCTAGCTCCATGGATCAGCGCTGCTGAGATGGGAAGGGGGCTCTGGGGGGTGGGACTGTGGGATTTGTGCAAGATGTGGCCCTGGGATATGGAGTGCCTGGTAGGGACAAGGGGAGGAGGGATGCTCTTTTGGGGCTGTGTCTGCTCTCAGAGGCTTGTTGACTGAAATTGTTGTCTTGAAAATGTCCACCAGACTGGAGGAATAGGAGGAGGCAGTGGTGGTGCTTTGGGGATTGGGGTGTCTCTAGGAGATGCTTTTTAGTGCTTGTACCTGTTCTGGGGAAGAGGAACTGGGGAGGGTGATGGGACTCCATCTGGGGAAGATGCAGGATGTTCAGGGCCCCATAGGGAGGAGAGGGGCTGGATGGGGTGGAGCAAGGCTGGGAGGCCTCAGCTGTGTCCCCCCAACCTGGAGGCACAAGCAGCAAGGGGCCAGCAGGCCTCCCACCCCTGTGTGTGTGTTTGTGGCAGGAGGAGGGATCTGGGCTGCTTTGTCACTGCTGTGTGGCATTGTAAAGGATGCCAACCCGGCTGTGGTCACTGCTCCCTGGGCTCCAGGGAGGGCGCAGGGATCAGGCAGCCTATGTCCTATTTCATACCTGCCCTGATGGGAACAGCCAGGACAAGTGGGTACAAGGCTCCTGCTTGTTCAGGCTTGGCCCCTTTCTCCTCTTGTAGGGAACCAGGAAGGAGAGGGGACAAGGAACACTGTTGCTCTCCTCCCGACCTGTGCAGGATCTGCTTTTCCAGCTCACCCCAACCCCTCTGCTGCTGCCAGGATACAGAACAACCCAGACAGCCAAGGAGAAACCCAAGGACAGGACTTGCAGCTTCATGGAGAGGTGATGCTTTTGCCTGGGTTTGGAGGGGAGGGTGTGAGCCCCCTGATATCTTATTCCCCAGTCTCTCGCCAGGCTGCTGTGGGGGGAAACTCACAGCCCCAAACCGTGTGTGGCAAGGCAGCCATCTCTCCAAGGGGACTGAGGCTGCAGGCTTTGTTCATGCTGTGCTTCAGACTGTTTGTATGTCACTCCAGGAAATCAGCACAACCACAAATAAAAAAGGGAAAAAGAAACAAATCATAGACACTTCAAGCTGCTTGCTCTGGGATACTTTTGGGTTCAGCTAAAACCAAGCACAAAGGTTTTTGTTCTGCTAAATTGTTTGTTAAGGGTCTGCACTGATACTTGCCAGTGTTTTCAATTAACTCCAGTTCAATTCCTCTGGTGTGAGCAGCCCTAGAGCCTGCAGTTCAGTGCTCTCGCACCCTGGAGAAGGGCAGGGACAATGCCTGTCCCAGCCTGTGTACCAGAGAAACATCTGGGAAATAAATTTATGTTGATCTGAAATGAACTTTTAAGGGCATGAAAAAGCGTAATTTTAAACTGAGAAACTTTTTATGGTAAGGCATATATATTTGCATTTTAAAATATTTTTTTAAATTATAAGAAAATGGAAAGATCAAATTTTTTCTCTTAAAAGACAGGAAAAATGCAACAGTTCTGATTTTGTTGCCAAAACGAAAGTTCATTAATCCCCAATACTGCATATGGGATTAATATATACATACAGTATTCAAAACCCCTCTCTATTTCTAGCCCCTTCCCCTGCAGCCTAACTCCAACATCTGCCCAACTCTGCTAAAAAAGCATTTCTGCAGAGGGTTCTTTGGCACCTCTAAGTATTGATGTGGATCAAACTTGCTATTTCTGTCCAGAGAAAATTGCAGTGCCGTTAGTGGCAATTATGCTTTGCAGACTCTGTTAGGCTTACTGTACATATTGGTAACTCCTGTTGTAAAATTCAGGCTTGGTCTGGAAGCAGCTGATTCTGGTACTTGCAAGGAGAAGCTGTTGTTGTATTTTTTCAAGGCAGAGGACTTCCACTACTGTCTTGGGTGCTTGCTAACTGGGAAGATAACAGGTGCCTGGAGAAGAACAGCAGAAGTGAGCTGGCAGCTGATGGACATACTTATACAGATGCAAAGACTCTGAAGAAATCAGATATATCCACAGAGAACTTGAGCATCTAAGTACTGTACAACAAGTTCCTAAGTCCTGACATGGCTGCCAGTTGAAGTCTGTAGGTACTTAAAAGTTTTTTCTAGTAAAATTTTTTGTGCCTATAAGTCTGCTCCTGAGCATGCCTAAATCTGCCTAAGTCTGTAGCATTTACCTCTGTGCTTCATGGGGATCTTTCAGTCAGGACTGGCCACAGTGTGTACCCTAAGCGAGGGAGGCAGCTCTGCATCCCAACACAGAACACCCTGTGCCAGGCCACACTAAGTTAGGAGGGGATGTACACTTAACTCATTACCCCCATCCCTTTGTATCTATGTCTAGATATGCTTCTCCTGTCCCACCTTCAATGCATGTGCAGGTTATTCTCCTTCCTATTCCCTTTTTGAAGTGTTAAATAAGTGGGCAGAGCTTTTGCCACAGCCTAGGAGATGCAGCTTCCCCCCCCCCCGCCTTCCACATCCCTGAGGAATGACTGAATCTCTGGGCTACTCCGTGAATGTGCTCAAATCCTCTGGCTTGAAACAGTTCCCTGTTGCATGAGTTGCTCACCATTGCTGAATCATAAAGGGAAAGCAAGCCCTCGAATGCTACTTTGCAGCATAGTGGTTAAGGTGTGAGCCCCAAAGACGAAGTGACAAGATTTTTTTCCTTGTAAATACAGAAGAGAAATTGGATCCACGTCTGAATTCTAGGTCTCCCCTTTCTGAGAACAATAATTAACTTGTTCCCAGGTCCTGGTTCAACTGAAGTTTCAGTTTGCCATGCAAGAGCCTGAGAGCTTTCTAGACCCATAAGTCTAGCAGCCTAATGTGTCAAAGGATTTGCAAGAAATGCATTTGGGTCTCACATGTTCTGGGAAAAAGTCCTAATACCTATGCTAGCAGATGAAGCAAGCTACACTGTTGTGTGAAAAAAGGATACCATGAACACTTAACTCTAGAATTCAGAGAGATCTAACCGTGTCTCTGTAGGCCAGGAGAAAGTACCTGAATTAAGAAGAGGGGATGAATCTCAAAGCCAGACTCTCTTTTTAGTGTTTGCTTTTGAACAGCATCGTTTCTTGCTTGGCTTGCTGGTATTTTAATCCCTATCCTGATGCTTAAATGTTCTTATGCATTACATAAAAAGCTATCCAGGTGTCTAAAGCATAAATATGAATTTCAGTAGATAGCAAACTGCCTAAATGACATCCTCTGCGGTGCTCAGCATGACAAAACCCATGTGCTTTTGTGGATGTCAATGTAGACATAATTTTATGCCAGC